AATACACAGAGAATGAAGTATTCTAAAACTGACCAGGCTTTCAGGGTGGAATACAGAGAAAGAAGTATTTTTAAAATGACCAGGCTTTCAAGGTGGAATTCAGAGAAAGAAGTATTTAAAAACGGACAAGGTTTTCAAGCCGACCAGTCTAAAATAAGGGCTATGAAGTGACATAGGAAATCAAAACTGCCGGCGTGACATTGAGTTACATCACCATTTGATTAAGTAAAGGACTTTCTTCCAGGCCATCAGGCGTGTTTAGGCACATAGGGCTAGACCTGCATTTTATAAACCAATTGTTACTCGGTGTTTATGTGGTCAACATCACGCTGCCCGCGTTTACTTCCACAGCGGCCACCACCATTTGAGTGCTGGCTGATTTATAAATATATACACAAAGCGAAAAAAAAAAAAAAAATTTTCACTTGTTTAGTTTATAATACAGAAAATATAAGTCTAAAATATATGAATCACTGTCTGGAGATCTGTGAGGTGAGATCAAACAGTTTCCAACTAAAACTCACATTCACAATGAGATGGGTCACACAACGCGCTTGTTATCTTTGAAAACATTTACTTCTGCTGGTTAGCACTCGCCGGGTATCCCCTCCAGCCGAAACTCCGAGTCGTTCATCCGCTCCAGGACTTATCCACAACTGGAGCTTTGCGTGTATGCAAATTAATTAATTGTACGCAGACTGCAGATTCCTTGCTTCTCAAGCAGTTTAAAGCCCGACATTTGAAGGAAACACTACTACGACATACTTGTTTGGGAAATAGTGGTCTGTTCTTTGTGTTAAAAAATGGAGCCCCGGAGCCCGCAGGGGGAATGTTTTTTATTTTTTTTCCTATGCTAAAAACAATGAGGATGATGACCACATTAAAAAATGGTAAATCAAATTTTTAAAGATATTATGTTATTCATGTTATCTAAATACTCATAGTACCGCATCTGTTGTAATCACAACCTTTGAGGTGTGAACAGGACAGTATTTCAAACAACAATCTAAAAATAAGAAGCCAACAACGTCACGTATTAACTGACCCCAGTTTTGAAACACAGTGCCATCCCAGTAGAGATAAAAAGACAAATTATAAATGCAATATTCATACTAATCTAGTGCTATTAGTGTCAGACGTTGACCCTGACTTAAGAACAGAACACAAGAACTATTGCAATAATGTCTGTAATTAAATTCATTTAAAATAAAAAGACTGAAATTGTTTGGCCATATAATTCTTTTTCTTCTCGTTCACCGGCTGTAAACTCCGGCGGAAAGTTCTAGTTGTTCGTCCACTTCTGGACTGCAGTCTTGTTACAGAACCTGAGTGTTGCGTGTTCATCCGTTTGACAGATTTGTATGCAGACTGTTGGTTCCTTGCCTCTCAGGCAGATACACTCCGACTTTGAAGGAAGCTCCCAATTAGTCGACTCTTACGACATGCTTTGGGGTAGGCAGTGGGTCTGTTCTTGCTTTTTCCATAGTAGGGCCCCGGAACCCTCACGGGGATGGCATGTTGTAAGAGTCGATTATTTAGGTCTTCCTTCTAAGTTGGAGTGCACGGAACGAACAGTCTGCAAATATTCTAGATCTGTAAGCATCTGTAAAATGGATGTGTGCACGCAACATGCACGTTCTGGAACAAGAATAAAGTCCAGAGGTGGCCGAACAACCAGAACTTTCCGCTGGTAAACGAGAAGAAGAAGAATAGAAATTCCAGCACACCCACCCACATCTGCGAAATGCTATGCACCGAAATCTCACCAATAACACATGATGGGACAAGGCTATAGAGAGAAGGTTGGAACAAGACCGTGCCTGAATTACAGTGAATGACAGAGCTTAAAAGTGGTTTGACCATCATGGTAAAAATGAATACAGTCACAATTATATGTGAGACCTTCTAGAGCAGAATATCTGGGGGAAAGGCAAAATGAAGACCAAGAAGCGAAGGATAAATGGCGTAGTTTAAAACTTAAAAAGAGATAAACAAAACCATCATGCAAACCACTAGAGATTCACAATCCTATAGTCATCCACGGCACTGAGCTACAACCCGTTAACAATGTGAACAGAAAAGAAGAAGATACTTAACCACAAATGTTTCTCTAATCCGTCAAACAAGAACTGGACGCGCACGTTAAAGTGACCATTTTCCCCAGGATTTTTCGGGGAGAAACTACCGCTTGAGAGTATAATGAGCTCATTAAAAACAATCCTGAACATGGGATCTGATGTTTGGACTGTCCCCGAATATCGGGGACAAATGGTCATCTGAACATAGATAAAAAAAATGACCCTGAACAAAAGATCTGATGTTTGGACTGTCCCCGAATATCGGGGACAAATGGTCATCTCAACATAGTTAGATAAACACAATTACGATCTAAAGAGACACATGTTTGTGTGTAAACTAAATTATTACCGTAAAGTAGTCCTTGTGAAACATGAAGGCACACAGCGGCAAATAGAATGGTTCCAAGGTTTGATAACCTCAT